ATCTCGTAGGGGTGGCATTTCTGTATGCAGTAGGTGTGGAATCTCTGTATGCCAGTAGGTGTGGCCTCTATGTATGCCCGTAGTGTGGTCATTCTTTATGCCCGTAGGTGTGGCATCTCTGTTGCCGTAGGTCGAGGGAAGCATCTCTGTATGCCAGTAGGTGTGGCATCTCTGTATGTCCCGTAGTGTTGCAGTCTCTGTACTGCCGTAGGAGTGGATCTCGATGCAGTAGGTTGTGGCATCTCTGTATGCCAGTAGGGTGTGGCATCTCGTATGCCAGTAGGTTTGTTGGTGTTCTCTGTATGCCAGAGTAGGTGTGGCATTCTCTGTATGGTATGCGGTAGTGTGTGGCATCTCTGTATCGCCCGTAGGGTGTGGCATCTCTGTATAGCAGTAGGTGTGCATCTCTTTTGCCAGTAGGATGTAGCATCTCTGTATGCCAGTAGGTTTGTGGATTTGTCTGTATGCCAGTAGGTTGTGTGAGTCTCTGTATGCCAGTTGGATTTTGTGGCAGCTGTTTTGCCCGTAGGTGTGGCATCTCTGTTTGCCCGTAGTGTGTTAGGCATCTCTGTATGGTGGGACCGTTAGGGTTTTTGTGGTTTTTGGCATCTCTGTTTGCCAGTTAGGGTGTGCAGCTCTGTATGCTCCGTAGGTGTTGGGGTGTGTCATCTCTGTATGCCCGTAGGGGTGGCATCTCTGTATGCCAGTAGGTGTGGGCATCTGATCTGTATGCCGCTAGGTGTGGCATCTCTGTATGGCCAGTAGGTTTGTGGCAACTCTGTTTGCAGTAATAGGCTGTGGGTGCTCTGTATGCAGTAGGTGTGGCATCTCTTGTATGTGAGTAGTGTGCATCTCCAGTATGCAAGTAGGTGTTGCATCTCTGTATGGGTACTTATGCCAGTAAGAGAGTCATGGGATCTCTGTATGCCTATGTAGGTGTGCATCTCTGTATTGCCAGTAGGTGTGTGTTGTGGCATCTTTGTATGCGCTAAGAGTGTGTGGCATTTCTGTATGCCAGTAGGTGTGGCATCTCTGTTATGCCAGTTGGTGTGGCATCTCAGTATGACGTAGGTGTGGCATATCTATATGCCGTAGGGTGTGGGCTTCTCTGTATGCCCGTAGGTTTTTGTGGCATTTCTGTTTTGCCAGTAGGTGTGGCATTTTCTGTATGCCCGTAGTGTGGCATCTCTGCTCATGCCCGTAGGTGTGGCATCTCTGTATGCCAGTAGGTTGTGGCATTCTGTATGCCAGTAGGTGTGCATTTCTGTTATGCCAGTAGGTGTGGCATCTCTGTATGCATGTAGTGTTGGCAAATCTTGTATAGTATGCATTAGGTGTGGCTCTATGTATGCCAGTAGGTGTAGGCATCTCAGTATGCCAGTGAGGTGATGGTATCTCTGTATTGCCAGTAGTGTGGCATCTCTGTATGGTATGCCAGTAGGTGTGGCATCTCTGTATGCCAGTAGGTGTGGCATCTCTGTATGCCAGTAGGTGTGGCATCTCTGTATGCCCGTAGGTGTGGCATCTCTGTATGCCCGTAGGTGTGGCATCATCAGTATGCCCAGTAGGGTGTGGTATTCTCTGTATCGGCCAGAACCCGCCCAACTGGGTGTTGGCATCTCTGGGTGTGTGGACCCGAGGTGTGGCATCTCAGTGATGGCCCGTAGGGTGTGGCATCTCTGTATGGCCAGTAGGTGATGGCGATTCTGTAGGCCCGTAGGTGTGGCTTCTCTGTATGCAGTGGGTGTGCGATCTGTATGCCCGTAGGTGTGGCATTCTGTATGCCCGTTAGGTGTGGATACTCTGTATGCCAGTAGGGTGTGGCATCTCTGTATGACGGAGGTGTGGCATCTCTGTTTGCGTAGGTGATGGCATCTCTGTTATGCCAGTGGGTGTGGAGTCTCTCTTATGTCAGTGGAGTGTGCATCTCTGTATGCCAGTAGGTGTTGGCATCTCTGTATGCCAGTGGGTGTGGGCCGTTCCTCTATGTCAGTGGGGTGTGGCATCTTCGGTTGCCAGTAGTGTGGCATCTCTGTATGCCAGTGGGTGTGGCATCTGTGTATGCCAGCGTGTGAAGGAATGAAAGAAAGCCTTTACCTGGTAGCCTTTGTTGTGACGAGCATTATTAGAGGCAATTTCCTCTGTGCACTGTGATAAAAATCTCCAAAGCCCCTTCTCTGGCATTTCTGTATTTCTATGAGTTCAAACAAATAGTCTGGTAATTGGCAGATTTATCCGCCTCAATAACACTTAGACTTTCTTCTGTGTGTTCGCCGGGAGGAAAATAAGCGAATTATGAGTACTGTTGTTTTGTTGTCGGTGTTGTGTTGCGGTGTTTGAGGGCGTGTGTGGAGTGTGTGTGAGGGTATGTGAGGTGTCATGTGTGAGGGTTATGTGGGGGTGTGTTGTGAGGGTATGTGAAGGGGGTGGTGAGGGAGTGTGAGTGGGCGTGTGAGGGTATGTGAAGGTGTGCTGTGAGGGTTGTGTGAGGGTGTGCTGTTATGAGGTGTGTGAGGGTATGTGAGGGTGTGTGTGGGGTGTGTGTGACGGGTGTGTGAGGGTATGTGAGGGGTGTGTGTGAGGGCTGGGTGAGGGTATGTGAAGGTGTGTGTGAGGTATAGTGAGGGTGTATGTGTGAGGCCCGTTGTGTGAGGGTATGTGGGGTTTTGTTTTGAAGGTATTGTTGTTGTTGACGGTGTTGTGTGGGTGTGTTTGAGGGGTGTGTGTGAGGGTGTGTGCTAGGTGTGTTGTGTGAAGTATGTGAGGGTGTTGTGATTGTATGTGTGGGTTGTGTGTGAGGGTATGTGAGGGTGTGTGTTGGGGTGTGTGAGGGTGTATGTGAAGTGATGTGTGAAGGTATGTGAGGTGTGAGTGAGGGTGTGTGAGGGTATGTGAGGGTGGTGTGTGAGGGTTATGTGAAGGTGTGTGTGATGGTTGTGAGGGTAGTGTTTGAGTTGTGTGTGTGTGTGTTATGTGAAGGTGTGTGTGAAGGGTATGTGAGGGATGTGTGTTGACGGTATGTGTAGGGTATGTGAGAGGTTGTGTGTGAGGGTGATGTGAGGGTGTGTGTGGAGGGTTGTGTGAGGGTATAGTGAAGGTGTGTGTGAAGTATGTTGAGGGTGTGTGTGAGGGATGTGTGAGGGTATGTGAAAAGGTGTGTGTGAGAGGGATGTGAGGGTTGTGTTTGAGGGTGGTGTTGAGGGTTATGTGAAGGTGTGTGTGAAGGTGTGTGTTGAGGTATGATGAAGGTGTGTGTGAGGGTATGTGAGGGTATGTGAAGGTGTGTGTGAGGCGGTATGTGAGGGTTCGTGTGTGAGGGTATGGGAAGGGGTGTGTGAGGGCGTGCCGTGTGATGAGGGTCGTGCTGAGGGCTATGTGAAGGTGTGTGTGAGGGTATGATGAGGGTGTGTGTGAGGGTATGTGAAGGGGTGTGTGAGGGCGTTGTGTGAGGGTGTGTGTGGGGCTATGTGAAGGTGTGTTTGAGGTATGTGAGGGTGTAGTGTGAGGGTTGTGGAGGGTATGTGAAGGTGTGTGTGAGGGTATGTGAGGGTGGTGTGAGGGTATGTGAAGGGTTGTAGGGTATGTGAGGGTATGTGAAGGTGTGTGTGAGGGTATGTGAGGGTGTGTGTGAGGGTATGTGAAGGGTGTGTGAGTGTATGAGGGTGTGTGAGGGATGTGAAGGTGTGTGTGAGGTATGTGAGGGTGTGTGTGAGGGTATGTGGGAAAGGGGGGTGTGAGGGCGTGTGGAGGGCGTGTGAGGGTATGTGAAGGGGGTCTGTGAGGGTTTAGTGAGGGTGTGTGTGAGGGTGTGTGAGGGTATGTGAAGGTGTGTGTGAGGGGTATGTGAGGGTGTGTGTGGGTATGTGAGGGTGTGTGTGAGGGTATGTGAAGGGTGTGTGAGGGTGTGAGAGGGCGTGTGAGGGTATGTGAAGGTGTGGTGAGGGAGTGGGGTGTGTGTGAGGGTATGTGAAGGGGTTGTGAGGGCGTGTGTGAGGGTGTGTGAGGGGTGGGGAGGGTGTGAGGGGTGTGTGAGGGTATGTGAAGGTGTGTGTGAAGGTATGTGAGGGTGTGTGTGAGGGTATGTGAAGGGGTGTGTGAGGGTATGTGAGGGTATGTGAAGGTGTGTGGGAGGGTATGTGAGGGTGGGGGTGAGGGTATGTGAAGGGTGTGTGAGGGTGTATGAGGGTGTGTGAGGGTATGTGAAGGGTTGTGTGAAGGTATGTGAGGGTGTGTGTGAGGGTATGTGAAGGGGTGTTGTGAGGGCGTGTGAGAGGGCGTGTGAGGGTATGTGAGGTGGGGATGTGAGGGTATGTGTGGGTGTGTGTGTGAGGGTTAGTGAGGGTATGTGAAGGTCGTGTGAGGTGTGAGGGTATGTGAGGTGTGTGTGAGGGTTGTTGAGGGTGGTGAGGGTATGTGAAGGTGTGTGTGAAGGTTGTGAGGGTGTGTGAGGGTATGTGAAGGGGTGTGTGAGGGCGTGTGTGAGAGGGCTGTGTGAGGGTATGTGAAGGTGTTTGAGGTGTGTGTGAGGTTTGAGGCGTGTGTGAGGGTGTGTGTGAGGGTGTGTGAGGTGTATGTGAGGGGTGTGTGAGGTATGTGAAGGTGTGTGTGAAGGTATGTGAGGGTGTGTGTGAGGGTATGTGAAGGGGTAGTGTGAGGCGTGTGAGGGTATGTGAAGGTGTCGTGTGAGGTGTGTGTGAGGGTTGCGTGAGGGTGTGAAGGGGTGTGTGAGGGTGCTATGAGGGTGTGTTGTTTGTCATGTGTTGATGTGTGTGTATAGTTATGTGTGGGTGTGTGTGTTTGTCGAAAGTGTTGACGTGGGTGTTGTCAGTGATGATTTGTGTGTGTTTGTCATTGTGTTGACGTGTGGTGTGTTTGTCAGTGATGATGTGTGTGTGTTTGTCATTGTGTTGACGTGTGTGTGTTTGTTAGTGTTGGCATGTTTACGTTTAGCATAGTATGGACATATTTCTTATAATGCTGACTTCTGTTTTCCAGGTGAGTGCCATCTACGAGGACCCATCATGGAGGCCAACCTGGAGCTAGTGTGATGTGAGAATTATCTTTTACAAGGATGTGAAACAATCTCAGGTAAGTCTTATCTCCTGGCTGCTGTCACCGCCCATTCCCCTAGGTATCGAACCTAGTTCCTCTCGGTTGGTACACTCATTAAAGCACCAAACAGTCTTAATTCAAAAATTTTCTTCTCTCAGACTAATTGTCATATAGAATAGTGTAGCAAACACTGCTGGTGTTCCCACAATGTAACTATCATATAGCAATTAGTGTAGCAACACTGCTGGTGTTCCCACATGTAACTATCAATAGATTAGTGTAGCAACTCTGCTGGGTGTTCCCACAATGTAACTATCATATAGATAGTGTAGCAACACACTACTGGGTTCACACAATGTAACTATCATATAGAATAGTGTATGCAACACACTACTGGTGTTCCCACAATGTAACTATCATATTAGAATAGTGTAGCAACACACTGCTGGTGTTCCCACAATGTAACTATCAATAGAATAGTGTAGCAATCACTGCTGGTGTTCCCACAATGTAACTATCATATAGAATAGTGTAGCAACACTGCTGGTGTTCCCACAATCTAACTATCATATAGAATAGTGTGCAACACTGCTGGTGTTCCCACAATGTAACTATCATATAGAATAGTGTAGCAACACTGCTGGTGTTCCCACAATGTAACTATCATATAGAATAGTGTAGCAACACTGCTGGTGTTCCCACAATGTAAACTATCTTATAGATAGTGTAGAACACTGCTGGTGTTCCCACAATGTAACTATCATATAGAATAGTGTAGCAACACTGCTGGTGTTCCCAACAATGTAACTATCATATAGAATAGTGTAGCAACACTGCTGGTGTTCCACAATGTAACTATCATATAGAATAGTGTAGCAACACTGCTGGTGTTCCACACAATGTAACTATCATATAGAATAGTGTAGCTAACATACTGGTGTTCCCACAATGTAACTGTCATATAGAATAGTGTAGCAAACACTATTAGTATTACCAGTGTTATTAAAGCATCAATTAGTATCACATACTGGGTGCCCACTGCCCTTGCCCTCTCATTCTTGCCCACAACATGGTGCGCACCATGCCCAGCATGACTCTTAGCATACTGAGTGACCTGTGGCACACGCTAAGGTCACAACTAGATACCCAATATGGTCATCTTGGTATCTTTCTACTTACCATGTGCACCCGGTATCTCTGGTGGGTTAGGTGGGGGTATGTAGGGGTGGAAACTAGGGGAAGACGGTGAGAAGGGGAAATAAGTAGAAGGATAAGGGTGCAAATAGGAACAACTGACCATGGATAGTTTATTTAGGTTCACGTGAGTACAATTCCACGTTATTATTCGTTGTAACGTATGTAAAGCAACCACAGGGCAGTTGAATGATAGCTCTAGGCCTTTCCTGTTGCAGAAATGAGAAGGAAGTCCAGGTAGGTTCATTCAGAGGAATGTTCTACCTCGAATGAGCTCATTTGACCAGCTGTCAGCGTAATGTTCACTAGTACATCAGCTGTCAGTATAATGTTCACTAGTACATCAGCTGTCAGTATAATGTTCACTTAGTACATCAGCTGTCAGTGTAATGTTCACTAGTACATCAGCTGTCAGTATAATGTTCACTAGTACATCAGCTGTCAGCGTAATGTTCACTAGTACATCAGCTGTCAGTGTAATGTTCACTAGTACATCAGCTGTCAGTATAATGTTCACTAGTACATCAGCTGTCAGTGTAATGTTCACTAGTACATCAGCTGTCAGTATAATGTTCACTAGTACATCAGCTGTCAGTATAATGTTCACTAGTACATCAGCTGTCAGTATAATGTTCACTAGTACATCAGCTATCAGCTAGGGGGGGGGATATCCCAGACTGGTAATATAACAATTGCTTGTCTTTGCAAGATGTCAAGATGTCACCCTTCTCTCTCTCTCTCTGTCTCTCTCTCTGCAATATTGCAGCTGTCTGTGCAACAACAATCTTGTCTCAGCACTGTCCTGCTCGTTCCCAGGATATTACTCCTCTCCCAGCAGTGTCCACCACAGCCCTGCAAATATTTCACAACTCGGAGGGAATATTTCTTCTCTCTCTCTCTCTCTCTCTCTCTCTCTCTCTCTCTACTTCTTTGTCTCCTTTCTCTCTTCTTTCTCTGTAAGTTCCTTTTAGTCTGTACTAGATAGTTTTACAAGTCTAGGATCGTATCAGAGCATCAGTACGTGATGCCTACACAGTAGCCGTCTTCAGTCGCAGAAATAAAGATGGTGTAATCACTCCATCAATCTTTGAGAAAAGGCATTTGAGGCATTCAGTCCCTCAACTTGGAGTCGATGTAATCGATTCCTGGCTAAGGGACTGATTACCTCAAACTCATTCTGATCTTCACCATTCTTCTCTGTATAGGACTGATGACGCCACTGTGTGGCGAAACGTTTCCTCAGTACAGATACCCAAGTGTTGCACGTGTGCCAAGTTGGTCAACTTATGGGTTCTCTGAAGCACTTATCTGCATATGTAAGTTCATATATGTTTAGTGTTCAGTCGTAATAATACCAGGAGCTTAATACCAGGAGCTTAATACCAGGAGCTTAATACCAGGAGCTTAATACCAGGAGCTTAATACCAGGAGCTTAATACCAGGAGCTTAATACCAGGAGCTTAATACCAGGAGCTTAATACCAGGAGCTTAATACCAGGAGCTTAATACCAGGAGCTTAATACCAGGAGCTTAATACCCGGAGCTTCATACCAGGAGCTTAATACCAGGAGCTTAATACCAGGAGCTTAATACCAGGAGCTTAATACCAGGAGCTTAATACCAGGAGCTTAATACCAGGAGCTTCATACCAGGAGTTTCATATCTGGAGACTGATGCAACTGTGTAATCTGAGAACTCATTTCCACTCGCAGTTGACATGTCGTCTGTACTTCAGGTAGCTTATGTCAAGGAGAACCACAGTGGTTCTCGTCCTAGAACACAAGACAGGAGGAACACTCCAGTTGACATGCCTGTACTTCAGGTAGCTTATGTCAAGGAGAACCACAGTGGTTCTCGTCCTAGAACACAAGACAGGAGAAACACTGCAACATATGGGAATGTTTACTGATGAAATGTTTCGCCACACAGTGGCTGCATCAGTCCAATACAGAGCAGAGAGGTGTAATGGTGGTAGGTGATAAGCCTATCACAGCCCGGGGGGGGGTCGAGGCACACGCCACCACACTAAAAACAGGAGATAACAAGAATGGAAATTTAGAGATGGGTGAAGCTGTGAGGAACCACAGCTGCCCACCTGTGATAGTACCCACCCTACTGCCCACCCACATGCCCACCCTGCTGCGCCACCTGTCCGTTCGTTTATATCCATCGCTCCGACTTCTAGCTTCTACCTTCTAGCAGTTGATAGCTTGTACGTTGTGTGTACGTCAGTGTACGTTGTACATTGTGTACATTAGTGTAAGTTGTGCATTACTGTGTGTGTACATAAGAGTGTACATTACAATATGCTGGGAGTTATTGCAGAAGTTATTGCGTAATATTGATGGTTGAATAAGTCAACGCCGACCCCCCCTCTCTCTCTCTCTCTCTCCTCTCTCTCTCTCTCTCTCTCTCTCTCTCTCTCTCTCTCTCTCTCTCTCTCTCTCTCTCTCTCTCTCATTGGTGTAAATGTGATAGTAATATGGTCGAAATGTGGTAGTAAATCGAATGTTGTGAACGTGAAGGCTCGATCCACCGTCAGTATGGTTCATTCACAGAAGTACACTGCCTTCCTGGAAGGTTGAGGAACCAACTTAACGCAGGTGCTGTCAGTGGTCAACTTGATGACTTGCTGATAGCCTGGCGCTGGTGGGAGGATGCCAGTGTATGTGTGCCAGGCTCTCAGCTACCTCCGTCGACTGACAGTGTGTCGTTGATAGCAGCGTTGTTCTTGTCAATTGCTTTCCTGTACTAGTGACTGTCTCCTGGAGGTGAACATGTTCTTAGAAGTGTGTTTGTGTGTGTGTGTGTGTGTGTGTGTGTGTGTGTGTGTGTGTTAGTTACGTGTGTGTGTGTGTGTGTTTTTTGTGTTGTGTGTGTTTGTGTGTGTGTGTGTGTGTGTTGTGTGTGTGTGTGTGTTGTGTGTGTGTGTGTGTGTGTGTGTTAGTTACGTGTGTGTGTGTGTGTTTGTGTGTGGGTGTGTGTGTGTGTTACGTGTGTGTGTGTGTGTGTGTGTTTTGTGTGTGTGTGTGTGTGTGTGTGTGTGTGTGTGTGTGTTAGTTACGTGTGTGTGTGTGTGTTTGTGTGTGTGTGTGTGTGTGTGTGTGTGTATGTGTGTGTGTGTGTGTGTGTGTGTGTGTGTGTGTGTGTGCTCACCTATATATGGTTTTGCAGGGGTCAATTCACAGCTCCTGGCCCGCTCCCTTGACCTCCCAGAGAAGTGTCACCAGTGTCCACTCGGCCTGTTATATATATGTATCCATGCATACATATATGTATGTATGGGTGCATATATACTTGACAGGACCTAGTTTATAACCGATGCATCGAGTCTACACTATACGTCTTAACTGTGTCTTACTCTAGCTAACTTCGAGGCATCATTTCTCTTTTCGTGGTCTCAGACCACACCTGCCTCCACTTCATTCTCAAGTGGTCTGTGTGTGTTACTTTCCTGGAGGCTCCACACTGGTGCCAAGTACTCGAGGACTGGCTTGGCGTGTCTGATACACAGGCCTCTGCATCATTCCTGTGTGTTAAAAGCAACTGTTATTTAATCTTGTGTGAGCCATTCATGGCATTGGATTTGTGTTTGGAGAGGAGGTTTTGCATCTGGTGATGCGAGGATGGTGGATCGAGCCTCCAGTAGTCCTCGCTGTGAATCATCTACACGGATTCACAGCTGGGAGAGTGTAATATAAAGGTCTTAGTGGAGTGTTGAGTGAGTCAGGGACTCTCCCTCACTCTCTCTGGGGTTCTCTCTTACCTCTGTTCTTCTCAGTGAACTGCCTTCTTGTTCTCCAACACTTCTGAGTAAATTGGTTCATCATGACTTGTGATAA